GGACAGGGCAGGGTGAGAGAGCGGGGACAGAGGACACCGTCAGGGAACAGGGACAGGGTGAGAGAGTGGGGACAAGGGACACGGTCAGGGAAGGGTGACAGAGACACAGTCAGGGTGAGGGGACAGGGGACAAGAGACAGGGACAGGAACATGGTCAGGGACAGGGGACAGTGGACAGGGTCAGGGAGGGGGGAACCCTCACCTTGACAAGGGAAGAGAACATGGAGCGCTCACCTGGATGGGGAGGGACACAGGGGACACTCACCTTGACAGGGAGGGGACAGGGGGACACAGGGGACACTCACCTCGACAGGGAGGGGACACAGGGGACGCTCACCTTGACAGGGAGGGGACACAAGGGACACTCACCTTGACAGGGAGGGGACACAGGGGACACAGGGGACACTCACCTTGACAGGGAGGGGACAGGGGGACACAGGGGACACTCACCTTGACAGGGAGGGGACAGGGGGACACTCACCTCGACAGGGAGGGGACGCAGGGGACACTCACCTTGACAGGGAGGGGACGCAGGGGACACTCACCTTGACAGGGAGGGGACACAGGGGACATTCATCTTGACAGGGAGGGGACACAGGGGACATTCATCTTGACAGGGAGGGGACAGGGGGACACAGGGGACACTCACCTTGACAGGGAGGGCTCCGTGTGGCTGCGCCGTCCCTGCAGTCGCTGCTGTCGCTGCTGTCCCCACTGTCCCTGCTGTCCCCACTGTCCCTGCTGTCCCCACTGTCACTGCTGTCCCCGCTGTCCCCGCTGTCCCCGCTGTCCCCTGCTCGATGACGATGACGCTGAACTCCTCGGCCGAGGGCCCCGGGAAGATTCGGAACACGGGCGGCTGGGCCGGGTCCAGCTCCAGGTCCAGCTCCAGGCGCTCCAGGCTCACCCGAGGCACCTTGGGCAGCCGGGGACTGTCCTGGGCCCCGGGGGGACCCCTCCTGGGGGGACACAGGGGACACTGGGGGACACCCAAAGCTCCACGGGGACAGGGACTGGGAGCTCGGGGGGCTGGGAGTGCCCGGGCACTTGGGGACAAGGGGACAGTGTGACAAGGGTCAGGGGTGTTGGGGACAGGGGACAGTGACAAGGGTCAGGGGTGTTGGGGACAACGTGACAGAGTGATAGAGCTCCAAGGTGTTGGGGACAGGGGACAGTGTGACAATACTCAGGGGTGTTGGGGACAAGGGGACAGTGACAAGGCTGGGGAGTGCTGGGACAAGGGACAGTGACAGTGCTCAGGGGTGTTGGGGACAGGGGACAAAGGACAGAAGGGTCCCAGGGCTCCATCTTCCCCTCCCCCATGCCCTAATTACCTCTTAATGAGCAGCTTCTTAACGAACTTCTCCTCCTTGGGGGAACTCCTGGGTTTCCTCCTGGATAACG